CGCCTTAAATTTTAACTGAATAAAAGCTAAAGACGAATGCTTTAGAAGAGAAACAGCAAGCAAAATAAGAAACATGAAAGCTGTCCTTGAGTTTCGTCAACGCTGCATTCGTTTATGGGAACTGCAGGATTGACTCTTGATTACAGGCATAACTTTGGCATGATGTGCTAAAATAGTACGATGTTGTAAAATAACAATTGAGCCTCAAATATCCGGGCTGATGATTAGATACCTTACGTCTGGAGAACGAAATACGATACTATTACTCAGTACAGTATTCGCTCAAAAATCACCCAAAATAGAATTGGCTTTCAAATTTAAATGAGGGAATTCAAGAATAGCTTGATGTGATACCTTAATTACCGCAAATTATGAAGATTGGTCGACTGTATTCGGTATGCAAATTTGTAATGAATATCACTTCAAAATAAATTTTGTGAGATTTCCGCATACAATCCAAGGTTTGATTCACGTGTAAATCAAGTTATTCTAATAAGAATATACATTATGCACATTATCTGTTTTCAGTGATTGACCTAAAAATTGGCCTTGTCCATTGAATTGAACGCAAGTATTCATGCAAGTTCCGACAGTTGAATTTCCATCATTCTTAACAGGATGATCTTTTAAATTGAGAAATGGAAATCAAGATGGAAAAATAATTTTTGCCTCAGCCCAGGATTGCGATAAAAATTTCTTTTTTTTTTTGAGATTCCCAAAAGACAGGCAGACGGATGTTATTTATGAAATCGAACAACATCCGTCAAAATTCCAAACAGCTCCGGTTCTAATTTTAAAAAAAAGGACTGTTATCAGGTTTTCGAAAATTTTCAACTTGGTAGAAAAAAAAGCAATGTTAACTGCCACTTGGTATGGTATTGGCTATCGCCACTGTTGTCTATTTTTGGTCATATCATTCACAGATTTTCACTGAACTGTCACACCACAAATCTGGTCTGTCATTGGTTAAGAAAAATTCGGGAATAATTTTAAAGTAACTCACATCCTCTCACAGTCATATCGAATTCAATTATTTCGCCCAACAACGGAAATCTAGAAATAAGCGCTGCACGTTTACTTAAGCCAAAAATAATGCTCTCGATAAAACCATTCATTGAAACAACAACCAGTTAATTTCATCACGCATTTTCAGATTGAAAACATCCATTTCAGCAATACAGTACTGTCTTTACTCAAGTACCACTCGGACTTTCTTTTTCAATAATGAGAGGAATAAAGGCAGTGTGCACGTTTATAGGTGGTGATAAAATGTTGGAAATTTCGGTGCGCGTCACATACAACTATAATTTGAAAATTTTGGCCGAAACTTATTTTCAAAATACAGCACTGTAAAAACAATTGAAAATTACATGAATTCGGGTTCAAATTCCAATGCAAGTGTCTTCTCATTTTTGAAATATTTTAGCAGTTCATTCACTAAAAAATTGGGTGTACGTCTCACTCGTGGATAGGATTTCATCAACCTTTTTTCAGGGTGAAAATTTCGGGTGGGAGTTCTTACTCCAAAGCGCGTGGTACTAGAGAGCAGGGAAATTACGACACCAGGGGCTAAACTCTAAAGAAGCTCAACTTATACATTACAGCACTGTACCTCGCTCAAAACGACGCAAGGCATCGTTTTTGCATTTCCTGAGCGTTGCCTTGTGTGATCGTAGATGGGCATCACTATCACTACTATTTTTATTTTTGCATTGAGTGTTTAAATCGCCTCTTAGAGTGGACAGGCGGCGGTGGTCGCGACGGAGCGCCGTGTGGGTAGTGCCGCTGGCGGATTTGTTGTAACTTCCGTGCCCGGTCTCGTTTGTACATGGGGCCGAATTTGTTGCGTCCTCCTCGCATTCTGTCAGCTCGTACAGCTGGAAAATTAAGAAAGAGAAACAAAGACAAAATTAACTTTTCGTCTTCAATGCGTCAACTGAATTTTCTACGAAAAAAATTGACGCGCAGCCGTGCCCCGAATAATGGACGCTTCGCATGATGTATTTTTTTTTGCGCAATCGACTCGGACTGTCGCCGAATTTCACTTTGAATAGTAGGCTGTGTATGAAAGGTAAGAAACTTCTATTTTAACTTCGATTACACCGTAAAGTGCGGACTAAAATTAAGTTGGAGAGATGCAGCGACGGCTTGATTTGCGTTTAAAAATTACACACACATGCACTTGAGTTGTTTTTGTTATAGTTTTCGTTATCTGCTGAATCTTGGTGACTCCTGGAACCGGAAATACATTTGTTCTTAGAACTCTCGAACAGACTTTCAAATTAGCGAAAAGCAGACTGTATTTCCCCCCTTTACAACGTTATCCAAAATTTGACTTGCGGGTTTTAAAATTGAAGATAAAATTGAAGCTAATGTGGCATTTCACGCCTGATTTTAATTCAACCTCTCTACGTCGCTGCCGAACTAAACGCAAATTTTTAATGTGTGTGTACGTGAACTCAACAAAAACAATATCAACTCGTTATCTGCTGAATCTTGCCAAATACAGGTAGTTGCTTACAACCACTGAGGACCTTGGCCTTTATGTAAACAAGAATCTTGAGAGCTTGTCTGAAAGTTTAATCGCTTTTCGTCTGACATAAAGGGGGGAAATGTTGCAATAGGTTTTAAACTGAACGCCCAAAATTTTTCGAAATCTTGTTGCGTAGAATTTTTTGTTTTGTCAATTTGGTCAAGATGTTGAATCCTCTGGCTGATCGGTTTTCTTTTAATGAATCAAAATTCAAAAAAGCACCTTTACCGCTCTACTCTAAGTTGTTAAAAGTCGTGCTGTTCATGTCATAAGAGTGTTAGGGACCGGTTCCTATTGAAGACATGACATGTAATGTTAAAATAAAAAGTCACCGAATTTCAACAATTCTCATTCTGCATCATGAATTTTGAAAACTCGACTTTTTTACTTATTGATTCTAGAGTAAAGGGCGAATTTTGCATTTCATTTGACTTCTGTTATCCAACATACAGCAGCTGATGTATTCATTGAAACACCTTTAACCCAATTGAATTTAACTTTCATTCCCTCCTCAATGTACAAATTCCTAGTTCCTGAATTTTTATGGCTTCATCTGATTTGATTCGCCAACGACCCCAATTTTAGTCCAGATTTTTTTTTTTCGAACACCCAAATCAGGGCCCATGCAGCGGAAAAAGGTTCCTTCCAAACGACCAAATCCCGTTTGAAAATCCGGGCATGTTTACTTTTTATATATATGACATATATGGTTTTGTATGTAAAGTGGTGATCTTATAACTTTTTAATCTTTTATGAGGCTTTAAGCTCTGTTTAAAGTCGTTGAAAGACTATTTGGGAGCTGCGATCAAAAGGCGTCGTCAATCACAGCCATCGGGAAGACTAAAAACTAACCGAACTGGATCCGGCATATGGCAGCCCCTCATTCTTTCATCCCGGAAAAAAAAAGGAGAACCCCGCTCGTCTCCTCGCAGACATAATCTTTTCCAAACATCCTCTCCACACATTTCCATACCAGGAAGAGAGCGGGAGAAAAAAAATGAAACCCATCTCCGGCGTCTGCTCCTCCTTTTCTCCTTCGACAAAAAAAAATATGACAAGTCCCCAAAAGACGCAGATTTCCGCGAAGCATTACACACATAAAAAAAGGGGAAAAGGAATTGAAAAGAAACGGACGCCAGGTTTCTTCCGGGGCGGAAAAGTGGAGGGGGAGCGTAGACTAGGGCTGACAAGAGAGGGGTGAAGGCGCAGAGTCGGGCAATGGGATGCTTAACCGCAACCCGTGTAAGGTTAAAAACGGACACAGCTGATTCCCATTTCCCAGGCACTCGATGCACTGACAGCAACACTTTCTGGTTGAAGAGTAAGGGTTCACAGGATACACAGAAAATTATAGGAAATTGTAATTGGTGATATTCTGGGCCTCACTTGTTTTCTCAAATGAGTTGACACATTACCTTAAACTGCATTGAATTATTTTCTTCTGAGAATTAAAGCTGAAAGGTTCCAAAATGCATAAATATACTGGATTAGCTTGTTACCAAATAAAATACAGCTTCAGAAGTCCCAATTAAAGTGGATAATCTCTGATTGACTTGAGTGCAGTTTCTTCGATAAAACTCACGGTAACTTTGTTACATTCAAACCTGTTCAAGTTAAACTCAGCGGGGAACGCACACAATTTTGTCTCAATGAAAACTTTATGAAGCCTGCATTTTTACTTGATGAAAAAAGGAAGAATTACAGGAAGATAAAGATGGTGATATTCTGGGCCATGAACTGCTGGATAGATGGGTTGAGGAAATATCAAAATTGAAAAAGGCGGCAAATTTCTTCGAGTAGCCACTCATTTCCTCCTGAAAAGCATAAAGCTACATTTTTGATAACTGTTCTCCTTCCTGAGTCCCCAGAATAATAACCCAAAAGCCTCAAGCAATTTTATTTATGCAGATATCAGGATTAAAATCTACAAGACGAGAAGGTCTGTACAGTATTACAATGATCTTCGAGAATTCAGACATGGACTAAGTACAGAACTGTAAATATGAATCAGGGAGGTTTTCAAGTCGACGAAGTTCAGGTTGGAGAGGTCTAACTGTATACTGTACTCCATGCTTGGGCAGAATCGGCTCAGTGAATTACATTGCAAGGGTATTTGCACAATGCCTGGAAGAAATTAGCTACACCAAATACACTTCACGTAGACTCACATGATCACATTAAAAACTTGGGTAACTCTTTCAGAGGCAAATACAGTAGCTTCATTCACCTTATAGATACAAAGCCGCTACAAAACCAATGTAATAAAATCAACCAACAGAGTCATACCTTGTACATAAAAATAAAACAGGAGACAAAAATCCCTTCCAAGTTTCAGCCGTTTTCATGTGACAACAAAACACACACATTCACGCATGCAGTGCATTCAGTACCCAACACGCGAAAGTGGGGAGAAGAACGAGGAAGTTGGGTGGGAACCCGTACCCCGTCATTTCAGTCGACCTTGAACGTCTGTCTGGGTTGCCCCCACTCCTCCCCCTCAGAGAAACCCCCCCTTACACACATGGACCAAAGGGGGGAAAAAAGGGAGAGACTTGTAAACACCGATAAAAAAAGGGGTGGGAGAGACGCTTGTAACAAGAACCGGGATCACCGCTATTCGAACGGTGACATCACGGCGGCGTCCATCCCCTAGCTGGGGTTCATTAGGGATACTGTACTGTACTGTACTGTACTGTACTGTACAGTCAAACCTTTTTCTCCATCAAATTTCTAGGGACCAGCAGAAAAATTCGACTGGCAGAGGTTTCGACTTACGGAGGTTTCCAGTTAGGGAAACATGGAGGGATTTCAGGAAATTGTAAATGGTAATACAGGTGGTACCTTACAATTTGATGGTCAAATTTGCAAGGAGGTTGACTTGCGATTCGACCCTTCCCCAAAAATCAAGCTGCTTTGGCCACTTTTTTTTGCGTTTTGCACTTATACTGTATTTTTGATTTTCGTGGAGTGTCTCGCAATTCAACCAATTCACAATTCGGCCCTAGTTTGGCAATGGATTAGGGTCAAATTGCAAGGTACCACCTGTACTCCGGGCCTCGAATTGCTTCTAAAGTGACTTGACAGTATACTGAAGTTGGAGCCAAGGGTTCATTTGCCCAATAAATACTTTGCTTTCCTTTAAAACAAACCAAGTCACATTTTTTTATTGCTTTTCTCTTTCGTGTGTTGAGAAAAAAACAACCAAAATGCCTCAGAAAATTTGATTTAAGGAGGATTTAGAGGAAAAGCCTTCGAGTTTCTCATGCATTGTTTCTCAGACATGGACTTGAAAAAAAATTGATTCAAAGAGGTATTTGACTTTGGAAGGTTTTAGTTTTTCAGGTGCAACTGAACCTTCTGAACGGGATTTCCCGCAAAATTTACCAAACTACGTATTAATTTGCACATAATCAGCACAATTCCAGCTTGCTGCCGAATGCAAAATACCGCTTCATAGAATATGCAAATTTTCAATAGAATTTCAGTAATTGTGAATTCGAGAACGAAGGAGAAATATTATCTCATTATAACAGATTCGTGATTGTAACACAACTTTTGGGCGAGGGCAAAATTTTTTTAATCTTCATATAAACGAGTTCCCATTATTACGGATTTGTTGCAAAGCCCAATCGCTTCACTGCAACGTTCCAATCGTTTTTTTTTCTTTCTTGAATGCTCCCCTCGCAAATTGAAAATTCATGCATAATTCAATTTATAACCTCAATTTCAGAATAGCAAACCGCATTCCTTCGATTAAAATTTGCGTAAAGAAGTTATTCAAAGTCATGATTCATTAACTGAAATAAGCAAGAAAACTCCCATTAAACCCAGAAAGACATCAACGTCGCTCGATCAGTTTCGCAACTACTTCGGATTACATGAAAGCTCAATAAAAAATGCCATGAATTCGTAGCGATAGATTTCAATCAGCGTGCTTTTCTCTCAAGAATGCGTAATATGTATTCAAGTGGTTTCCTTTTGTTATCAAAGCTTTACATCTTTCTCATCTGGGTCATAATAGAACAATCAACCAAGCCCTGTTTTCTGAACTCGAACAACGATACCTGAAACAGAACAGCAAAATAAATGCTTCTCAGTCTTTGGTTAAATAAACATAAAAGTACTGTACTGTATAATTCGCAGGGTTCTCGACATGAAACCCAGTATCAACGACAGGAGTCATTTGTATCTAGATTCCCTTACAAAATCACAGAAGTACTAGGACGATCAATCGACTTCACTGGTACAGTATGAGAATGCTTATGGGGCTCAAGTTCGCGACATGGGGGATTGAAAACCCAATCTTCTTCACGACTCGAGCAACGAGAAACATAATCCAGCAAAACATCTGCGACAAAATGGCCAACAAACAACAATAACAAAAAAGAGAGCTTCGATAATGCTGAAAGAAAAACGGGTTTCCTCGGTGACTGGTTCCACCCCCTCCAGGGTCTCGTTCATCATTTCAAACGATTCCTCGAAGAAGGAGGAAAATAATGAAACAAAAGCACATTCTCGTAATAATAACAGTCTCCGACCATTTGGAAAAAACGGCGTCAGTCAACCCGACGGTTTTCTGGTGGCAAGCGGGGGAAAGTGGCGCCGGGTTTCAGGCATCAGATAAAACCGGGGAAGTTCCCAGAAAAAACGGGTTCTTGTCCAGCAAATCCTAGGGTATCTTCTTCCGAAATATCCGGGGGGTCTTTCTGAAGTTCTTGAGGATTCCCAGGGGAGGATTTCATAGAATACGTGGGGCTTTCAAGAGCAACAATCTCTATCTTCAAGCAACCATCACGCATTAAAATTTAAAAACATTCCATGGATTTCTGACCAGTCATATGCTCACATATACTGCATTAAAAAATATGTTCTTGCACAACTTGTGACGTCCAGGTTTCATGGACTTCATTTCTTGAAATTTTTTCAATTTTAATGTCATATTCATAATTTCAAGTTCCATTTGTTTCGATGCGGTTCATGGTCAAGTGGCGAAACTTGCATTTACGCGATTCGAATTATTCAAGTTTTCGAAATTTCGAAGGTTGGTTAGACACACGTGTCAAAATTGAAAACACATAAAATAAACACCCCAAAAACAATTATGGTAGTTACTGAATAAAGGATGTCCAACAAAGTTCTGTGTGCGAAGAATGTTCATCGTCCAAAAATTCATCTAAAATCAATTTATCATGACGGATTTCGCCATGTTTTTTTTTTCAAAAAGCATGGACTTCATTTCCTGAACTACTTTTTCAATTTTAATGAAATTCCCCAAATCGCTTTTCACTTTCCAAAATAAATACAGGTGGTACCTCGCAATTCGACGGCCGAATTTGCTTGGACGTTGACATTCAACATTTTGAAAACCAACCAGGATTCATAAACCCCACACTGAATTCGGCCTTCTTGATCAATTTCCACACGTTTCCTTGACCGTAATTCGCAAGATATTCGATGGAACGACCTCAAAACAAAATAATGAGTCTCGGTACAAGAGCAATTTTTTTTTTAATTTCACCACCAAGTACTGTACTGTATACTTCAGAGTGAAAAAAGAGAGAAAAAAGGACAGCCGTAGGTAATCCCGCAGACTGTCAGATCCGACGCTCTTACGCCACAACACACTTAATCATACGAAAACTAATTTAATGAAACAAGGGCCAACATCTGATTCCCAGACGCCTCCAGGCCAAGTCACATTCCATTCCATTGCATAGCTTAAGCCCAAAGCGCGATGCATCAGCTCTTTCCAGATGGAATCCATTCCCCCTGACTCAACCACTGGACACCCTGTGTGTTACTTATTTCTTTATTTATTTTTTTGGGAAACCCCATCCCTGATTGGTCAACAGCTCTAAATCATTCCCACCAACACTGGAGAGAACCGAAGGGCATGAGAGAATTAGGAAATCCTGGAAGCAGCCATAACACAAGCCAATGGCTTTGAGTAAGGGCAGAATGTTGATGATTGAAAAAAGCTACTAGGGTTCCACAACAGGGAATGATAAGAATAGAGACCAACAACTGATACCTGTACTCTTGAGATTTTTAAACCGGGTCAGAATATATACCGTATTCAAAAAAAGACTACCCAGGCTCTATGAGCGGATTGAATCGCCCAAGGACATAAAATCCCATGTCATCAAGAAATCATCTTTCAATGCTTGTTTATTGCAGTGTACAGTGAGACCACCACATGTGGACACCTCTACATGAAAAAAACGTAACATAGGGACATTTATTTTCAATAATAAAGGCTCAACATATGGACACTGACTCAACATGCAGACATTGCATGATACAATTGCCAATAAATTTAAGGAAAATTGATTTTATTAGGCTTAATTCCGATAAACAGATATTTCCAACCCTAAGATATATGCAAGAAAAGTTCTTTGGGATTTATCCCATCATTTTCCCATACATTCAGCTAATTAAAAAAAATTCCCTGTAGCATAGAGGGACTTCCTTCTCTCTTGGTGACTTTAATGTTATTTTTACAGATGACAACATTTCAATGTGCTGTACAGAGGTACACTTTTCAATGCTCCAAATGTTCTTACTGATTTGAAAATATATTCACTGAATCAAATTCAAGCGGCAATTTTTTTTCATGGAATTCTTAAGAACATTTCTTCCATAAAACACCAATTGAAATCATATAATGCAAGTCTAGGGGAAAACAAGACTCGACCTACGGACATTTTGACGTAGAGACTTTCTAGATGCACAAGTCAGTGGGGGTCTCACTGTATGCACGAAATCGTCGAATGACGCCCAGGAATTAATTGATTCAAATCTATAAAGGCCCCTTCCGTGTTTTTGTATCTCAACATATTCAGGCAATCAGAACAGACTAAAATTCGTATTTAATCTCGTACAAAGGAAAAAGGAATGAAACCAAACGCGTATGCGATAATTTTTAGTTTTTAGATAAAGCAAAAACTAATTAGGAGCATGCAATTTTTTAAATTTTACTGGAATAGTTTCTTATACGCTGGCTATTCATCATTTGTTTCAACCCACGTCCAGCGATAATTTCAAAAATATATTTTCATCTATCGTCTAACATCAAGGAGCAGGTATCCTCGAAAAACTATTTAACCTGACGCAATGCCATACATTAAATTGTATGGTGTACAGGTGGTGACATACTTTCGTTCCATATCTATACTAGCGTGCAGAAATTCGAGACATCATTCCAGGCGCAGGCCGCCTTCTTTCGAGTCAGTTTGGCTCAAGTCGCACACCGAAATGTCAAACGAAGGGCGCACACACATTTTGAGAATAGTTTCTGTGAGGCCTTTAACCAAAATTACCAGCGCAGTGATTTTACCGTATGTTTTCTGTTGAATTCCCTAAAAATAAATCGACGATCAATCGTGTAAGGGAATTCCGGAATACAAAGGTCAACAAGTGCACCCGTTTTAAATTCCAATGTTGAAAACAAAATACAAGAAAACGTCTCCATTTTCGTCCACAGTGGAAACCAACCTGCAGTGCATATACTTCCTGTGAAAATACAGTACAGTACTGTAAAAAAACCTAATTCTGTTCGTCCCCTAATTTACATCTCGGCCATTCTGTAGGAAAAATATGGTTATAGTTCACAGTACTCGGTGAACCGGAAAAGTCCCCTTTCCAATAACGTCGGTTTTATTTTCAATGCATTCACCGCTATAAAAGGTATTTTTTCTCCGGATTTTCTCGGAATTGTCAAAAATCACCTCACCCCCATCTCACTCTCGTTGCACGGCTACATCGAAAAATCAAGAAACAAGTACAGTACATATCAAACGTACTGTAATATCACCGAATTAACTCAAATAACCTGCGTAACTTTTTTGTAAATTAAAATGGAGAGGAAAAAAGAGGGTGTGCGCCTCAAGTGGGGAAAAATGCGAATTGTTTTTAGCAATTCAGGTGCGTTTCAATTTAAATATAATGATGCTTTTTTTGGAAGGAATTACATAAGAATCAAAACGACTGAAAATTTACCAAATACGCGTTCAACGTTGAATTCTCGTTTCTCTCATTATTCGATACACTGTTCTGTACTTTTTTGTTGAACTCATGTTCAATTTTTAATTCTAGTGCCGCTTATTTTTATATACTGTACTGCACTGTATTGCCCATTTTCAGTGACTGTAATTTTCCGTTGAATTCATGTTCGAAGTTGAAACTGCTATTTTCCAATTACTGTATTGTAGCTTTTCAGTCACTAAACATGGGGTGTGTGCATAACTCGAGGGCTCGTGGTACAGTACTCTAGTAAATACTGTATTAATGTACAGTACATTATTCGTAAACCCGGTTGAAGTGAGACCACCAGATGTGGACATGATTGGTGCATCAAGAGTGTCCCTAAGTTGAATTGTTTTTAAATCAAGTCTTGTTTTCTCATAGACACATTATATAATTTTTAATTGGCGTTTTATGAAAGAAATGTTCTTCAGAATTTCATGAAAAAAATTCTTTGCCACTTGAATTTGATTCAGTGAATATATTTTCAATTCAAAAAGAACATTTGGAGCATTGAATAGTGTACCACTGTACAGTTCATAGAAATGTTGGCATCTGTAAGAATAAAATTCAAGTCACAAAGAGAGAAGGAAGTCCGTCTATGCTGTAGGTATTTTTTAAATTAGCTGAATGCATTGGAAAATGATGGGATAAATCCCAAAGAACTTTTCTTACATAGATCTTGGAAATCTGTTTCTTAAAAGTCAATTTTCCTAAAATTTATTGGCAATTTTATCATTCAATGTTCTCATGTTGAGTCAGTCTCCGTATATCGGGCCTTCTTCATGATTTTTGTTTATTGAAAAATAAATGTGTCCATGTTGAGGTGTCCGCATGTGGGGGTCTCACTGCACAGTACAGTAATTTGAAGGGGAGGTCGTCTGGCGTTTGTTCCAATACAACCACTGTTCCTCGCGCCTCTCTCCCTCTCTTAACCATGAGGAGTGAAGAGACGAGCCACGCAAAGCGAGGCGAAGTAAAGTACTGTACTGTAATGTACAGAAAAAGGCACGCAGGCCAAGTAAAGCAAAGCAAGCAAGCCAGCCGCTTAGGATGCAAGCATGCATCAAGCAAGCAAGCAAGCAAGCGGCGCCCCCCACTCAGCTGGCGCGGAGAGTGAGAGCGAGGGAATGTGTGTCAGGGTCACGCGAGCCGGCCGGTCCAACCCCCCTCACTGCCGCCACTGCCACTACCGCCGCCGTCGCCACCACCATCCCCACCACTGCTGCTGCTGCCGCTGCAACACCGCCTCTCTCGCTCTCCCCGTTATCCACGTCTCTCAACGTTCCCACTTTCCTTCATTCCCTTTGTGCACGTACAAACTGTACCTCACAGCAGAGTGCGTCCATCTTCATCCGTTTCGCCTATTCCCGTTCGTTAGTTCATTCGTGCGGGCAGGCAAGTGAGCTTGCGTATGTTCGCTGGTCTGGAGTTGAGGCACCACCACCATCACACTCGATACCAAAACCACATCTTCTAAGAAAAAATTCAACTAACCAACCGCGCGGCGTCTCTCGGTGGTGAAAAAAAAATTGTGACAGGGAACAGCAGGAATAAGCAAAAGGGAATGGATGGAAGGGGGGCTTCTCAACAGGTGGCAAAGGGGGGTTCCACTACAGTAGTACAGCAGTTGATAAGTGGGGAACACTTTGCCGAGAAAGATCCATAAACAAGGTGATTATTTCAAAGGAGTGAATATTTATTTATTCACGTGTGTCAGAAGGAGTGACTGACTGACGAATGGTTTGCCCAACAAATTAGGGATAAAGTTCTGTATAAGATTTACTACGTAATTAATTACTGTACCACGTTCTTCAACTCTCAAGTGGACGTTTTATTTGCAACTGGGAGTTTCACCCGGGATTTTTACACAGGTGATAATGAACAGTGTCACGTTTTGAAAAATGTACAATTCACAAAAAGGAGGAAATCCTTCCCTCAGCATTTCATAAGTTATGCGCGATTGTTGTCCTAGCAATGCGTGCATTCCAAAAACTATGCTGTATGATGTAATACTGTATCATACTATATTCCCAAACAAGGTTCGTCACAATTGAACTTCTTCAAATCAAGAGTTCAAGGGAATAGCGAAAAAAGCAACTCAGAAATTGAGGCAATTAATATTTACGCCATGAAAAATAAGCAAAAAGTTAAAAAGGAAGATCTTTTTTTTGCCGAAAACTGATAGGACAGATTTAGCAGGATGCTGAACTTAGGGGCAAGGGTTCATTTGTCGAATCGCTCTTTCAAAACTTCAAGTTATATTTCCATTCTTTTTCTCTTTCCTGGGTCAACAAGATAGTCCAAATGCCTCCAAGAAATTCGAGCTACAGAGGTTTGAGGGGAGTTTTCAAATTAGGGAGATTAAGCATCTCTTGTTTCTAAGGGAATTCGAACAGGGACTCGGCAAAAACTGGACATGGGAAGGTTTTCAAACTTGGGGAGGTTCGAGTTATTGAGATTCAACTGTAAACGGTTCAAACGATCTGGCGAGTACAGTACCATATTTACTAAAGCACAAGGAGACCTCAAGTAAAAATCGCACCTTTCTTTTGGCGCAAAATTCGCCCAAACTAAATCCCCAAATAAGAAGAGCAACCCTGTTTTCATACGTAATGTTCACCACAATGGTTTCATGATTTTTTGTTGTTGAAAAAGTTTATACCGCATCCGCATATAACGAGGCACCTAATTTATAAAATCAATTTTCGAAAGAAAAAAAAATCGCGCAGTACTGTACTCGAGTACATACGGTATCTATTTTTGAATAACATTTCCTCACATACTGTATTCAATCTGTTACATGGTCATAACTACAGTAGAGCATCCGAGGAAATACAGCATGTCTTTTGCAATGGCTCAAATTAAATAACTGTACAAAATCAAAGTCATGGAACAAGGCAATTGCCTGATTCACCAAATATTGTAAATTGTACTAATTTTTCTTACGAAATGACTCAATACGCTAGGGACAGACTTCGACATTTTACATGTCCCATTCCCTGAAGAAAAAAAAATCGCGCCTTGAATTCGCGTTGATACGTAGCACAAGAAATCGACAAACGCGAAAAACCAGATACTTCATACGGTATCTTCGTATTCGGGCGAAAGCCTGTGTGTCGTGGTTGTAATGTTGGTAAAAAAAAAAACAACAAAACAATGGAGTACCACCACGCAAACACGCGCGGACGCAGATACACAAAACCAAAGGCAGACATGTTATTGCGTACTGAGTGAGCTGCACCCTTCTGAAAAAGAAATATGGGGACCCGATGTGTGTTCAGCGAAATAAATTACAAACGGCTGGTGCAAAACCCGAATATTCTGCAGTTGTCGGCACACGCTGATTCTCGCCACAGAACGTTGAAGGATTGGAGCAGAAGATGATGCAGAATACGACTGATGTTCCTGGTGACTAAACGAGGCTACGTATAATAATATTAATAATAATCAAGGTAGGAAAAATAATAATTGCCGAAAGAACGAGCGTTAAATTCTCCCCGCAGAGATTTTTACGGTCATTCATGACCCGCCTGATGCCATCGTATTTTATCGCTCTTGGACAATAAACTCAAATTCTGAGGTACTGGAAAACATTAACATCTCTCCCCAGGAAGAAGGTGAAGTACAGTACTTGCTTTTGAAAGAGAAACATAACTGGGAATTGCTTTCACTAGGCAAAAATGAATTACTGCACAACAAAACACTTACTTCGACAATTGCTTTGAGTGCTCGCGAAACTAGTCACGCGTTGAGAAATTTACTGCATTTTTTACCGCATTCAGAGTTTGAATTAAGATTTCCCGTTGAAAATTCCGGGTTAAAGAAACCCGGTTTCCTTCCAAAAGCACTCACGAGCGTTGATCGGTTTTTAAAATGATGTTTTAATCTGAAGTCTGACAAATAGAACGAGTCACAAACGCTGAGAAACGAAGCGGTTACAATTTTTGCCCAGTGACTTTTGCTGGTTTCTTTTTTTTTTTAACAGAAAAAGCCAGCTTATTGCAACGAAACCCGGATGCATTCTTAATATCGAAGACAGATAACGTTAAGTTGAGTTTGAGAAATGAAATTGCCACGAATCAAAACCCAAGTCTAAATGAATTCTCAAACCAAGGGAAACGTTGAAATGATTTGGTTCAGAATTCATTTCAATTCTGAAATGCGTTTTGATAAATTTTGTTATTGCTCTCGAATCTTTTTCCAGCTTTCTGTAATTTCCAATTTCGAAAGCTGATCGATTGACACGTGACCTCAAACATTTTCCGATTCGAAGACAACGCCTCTGTATGACAATAAAACCACGCCTCTCAGTTTTTCTCCCCAAGAACTGAAAAATTTCAAAATTTTCTTTATGGTCAATTCAATGTCGGGTGTCAACTCAGTGGAACCGCCTTTATTATTTTATTGAAATTATTTGTATTATTCTCCAAACACAGCGTCGAATTTCTTGTTAACATTTTTTTTCTCAAATCACGCACAATTTTTTTTTCACTCTGGCGAAGTGGCCAGAATGGCAATCGAAAGGAATGCGATGTCAGAATACAGAAATCTTTAAATTTCTCATACCACCTCAAAAGAAAGCGGAAGTTTAGTCTGAAAAACCAACCTTTAAAAATGTATTAACTTCAGTTCCATGAATTCTCAACAGAATTCAGAAGACACTTTCTTCCCCTTGAAGAATTGAATTTGATCTGTTCCCAAGTTTGGACGACTGTGCTTTGAATGACGAATTTTCCGTGCTCTCCAAATTTCACGGGAATCCAAAATACAGTATTCGAATAGGCGAACTAAGGTAAGATTCACACAGAATTTAGGCAACTCGTCTTCCACCAAAACGCTTTGGTTTAATTCCATAATGGTCGACACCTTCGGCTTTCGAACAACAAAAACCTACAAATTTTTTCCACCACAATCTAAAACTACTCAAGTTGAAATAACCATATGGGACCAATAAAAATCGTCATAAGAGAAAATCGTCGGCGTAAACAATTTTAATCGAGAAGGTCCAATTGTATAACCGAACTCTACATTAACCTGCTCATTGACGGAACATCCGTCGAACCAAAAAATACGAAACTTCGAAGTGACATCCCCCCCCCAAAAATCCATCAGAGAAATGCTGCTTTCAAAAACAGAATCCTTTGCGTAATTCATAATTCTTCGGGAGTATCTATCTGATCGAGCAGCAAACAACAAAACACGATTTCCCCCTCAATCCGAATTTTCCCGGTTTTGAATCCCGCCGCGCGGGGACGGGACGCTCAAACTAGGTCATCAGGGAACGCGGTCGACACAGGCAAGGAAATAAAGGACAACACATACACACACATACAAAAAGAGCAACGACGGGAGTAGAAATGAGGTCGACCAGCGCACGGGGATAAGAGGAACAGAGCAGACAAGGAAAATATTGAGGAGCTCCACACTGCTGCCAACTTAGTTTCCTAGTCCATGAAAATAGAAGAAGGAAACAACCCTGCAGAATCAGCAAATGTCTGGAATAATCCTCGGGCTTTGAACATTATTTTTTTCTTGTTTGTTTACCTTTTTGTTTGCCTTTTGCAGTTTCTGGGAAAGAAGACGCACTGAATCGGCGAAAAGACTAAAAGTCTGGTAAGTGACAGAACCACGAGACGACAAGATGGAGGAAACGAGAGGAACTTTCCGGAGTCTTATTTTTTTCAAGGAAGACGCGTAACATTATGCAGCGACAATGCATTTTTTCTTAGAATACCTGAAAAACTATTCTGGGAAATTCTCAGAAGTTTTTCCGCAAATTTTATACGCAATATCATCTAGCTGAAAATTGCATAAATTAGTAGCTAATACTTTCAGAAACTACGAGATAAACTCGCATAAAAATTTATTTCCACTTTATTCTTCAAAAAATGAATCGTAGGCCGGCCTCTAGATAGAACAAGAAAAACCTGGCGCCGTTAAATAATAAGCAAAAAGTTATCTAATGAGCAAAAGCAAGAGAAGAAATTATTTTTTTTCAGCAGGTTTCCATCCAATAAAAGCAAGTCTGCAGATTTTCTTGAATGGAATACACTTCGCAAGATAAGAATTAACTCACTCAAAGGCATAACATAAACGTCCTCCTGATGATTAAGAATTCATATCCCTAACAAAACCATTTTCAAAATAGACCAGATGACAATTCAAGAGCAAAATTTGGCATAAGGATGGGATTTAAAGTTTGCAGAAACGC